GAAACTAGGAAGAGAGACTACAGCAGTGGTTGGAGGAAAAATAAAATAGAACAACAAGAGAGACTACAGCAGTGGTTGGAGGAAAAATAAAATGAACAAGAAGAGAGACTACAGCAGTGGTTGGAGGAGAAAGAATATAAACAAGAAGAATGTCTCCAATAGATGAAAGAAAGCCAGCATACACAAATGAAAAAGATGGGTAAATTTCAAAGTGAATTAATTACATTAAAGGATGATTTACTGTCTTTTACACAAGGAGGATATATTAGCCATGGACCTAATCAGCCTCAGACAACGGGAAGCCCCTTCCAGTCCCCGCAGCTAAATCCTAATGCAGACATCTTCAGTCCTGTCAGAAGTCACATTCCAGACATGAGTGTCAGCAATAGGGGTGATCTAGTATGAAGGAAGCCACAGGAATTCGATGGGAAGGCACCATGGGAAAAATATAGAGCACAATTTGAGCTCCTGGCAGAAATGAATGGATGGAAAGAGGAGCAGGAAGCAGTGTATCTGGCAACGAGCCTGAAGGGATAACCACTGGAAGTACTTGGACAGTTGTCAGCAGACGACAGGTACAACTATAGAGCACTGGTAGCTGCTCTAGAACTCAGGTATGGAACCCAAAATCAGTCAGAAGTCTACAGGGCTAGGTTTTAGGACTAGAGTCCGTGCTAAAGGGGAGAGCCTGCAAGAGCTGGCACATGATTTGGAAAGTATGGCACCACCCGACAAGTTGTTGCTGAGAGATCAGTTTGTAGATGCCTTGGACAGTCCACAACTGAAGATAAAAGTAAAGCAAGCACACCCCTCTACTATGCAGGATGCAATAGCCAGAGCTCTTGAATTCGAATCCTATGTTAAATCCAGCACAAAGATACCAAGGTTGGTTCAGTCATCAGGATTCAAGGCCAGAAAAGGTCAGCTTTCAGAGAGATTTGAGGGACTTTTCTGGCACTGTAACAAACCTGGACACAAGAAAGCTGAATGCTGGAAACTTCAACACAAAGAAGATGCCATGGCAGGAAAGGCTGCTACCCAGAAAGGTTGTTGGAACTGTGGAGAGCAAGGACACATGAGGAGCCAGTGTAAGAAGAATACCACCAATAAGTCAGCTTCGGGAAACCAGTAGTGGTTGGTGCTGAGGGACGCCCACCAACTCCCATCGTGAAAGTCGCAACAGCTAGGTGTAAAATGGCAAGCACACATAGTGTCTACGTGACAGGAAAGCTGGACGGCCAAAGGTGCAACTTTGTCATAGATTCTGCATCTCAGCAAGCCCTTGTGAGTATCAAGGTGCTAGATCACAAAGGATTACCAGAAGCCATACAGAAGCTGTGGTGTGACAGGACATTATGCAAGGTTGTGGGGACCAGTGTGGGTGACTATTGAGCTCATGGGTATGAAGGACAGACACAAAGTATACTTGGCTGACATTGAAGACCAATGCATATTAGGATTAGACTACTTACTACCGAGGAAGTGTGTAGTTTACTTCGGTAAGATGACGATTGGGAACAACAAAGGTCAAATTGCAGTACGTGTTGCTGCATCTGTTAATTTGCATTCCACAGCACTTAAGTCAACTACAATAACCCCTATGTCAGAGAAGATAATTTGGGGTGGAATAAAAGAACATCCCCAAGGAAGCCCAATGCTTGTAAAAGCAGTGGAAGACCCATCTAGGCCAGTGGATGTGAAGATTGGAAGGTCACTTGTGGCAGGACATCAAATAGTACCCATAAGAGTGGCAAATTTCTCTAAATGTGA